ATATATATATATATATATATATATATATATATATATATATATATATATATATATATATAAGTCAGGGGAGCTGAATGAGCGGTTGACCTCACTTTCACAATTGTTGTGTCCTGTTGTCCGAATATCCCAGATGATCCCAAATTCAGAAGACAGCACAATGTCGCACACATGTGCAGATGCAAGAAAATCACATACATGCATACAGATGCAGACACAGAATGCGCTACAAGCGTCAACCTTTAACACATTCATAGCAAGTCACTCGCACCTGAAACCTTGAAAACAATATTCCTTCCTAAACGTGACTCCTTTTACCCCAACCCTTCACATTTTCAAAAGACCTCTCAGTGTGATTTGGACAAATTTAGCTGTAGATGCAGGAGGAAGATTTATCTGTTCCCTTCTTAGGTCTTGTCTTAGGTGTGGGTATCAAACCATGTGGAAGTAGAGTCGAAGTTATACCGACCTGTTATCCAGAGATAACAAAATTTGCAGTTCCTTACGGATTTCTTTCGTAGTCCTCTCAAAGAGTGATGAACCTGAAGACACAACATGGTCCGAAAGAATCTCAGCGTCCTCTCTTTGGGTCCTAGAAGATTCCTTCTAGACTTGTGACCCAAAGTTTTGTGCATATCGTTGACCTACTGCCTAACTTTTACGTTGATGCTACTGGCCACCAGAGGTTCGGTTTGATGCCGTGGATCCGCAGGATTTCCTCGGCTTGCTCATTGCAGAACGCTTGCACGCTCTCAACCAGGAACCTGAGCAGACATGCTCATAGGTTCGCCATAGGTGAGAGGACGGAGCCGGCTGTGTTCGTAATTCATCTGAATGAGTTCTTGTGTGCTTTGTACACGGTCATTATGTACGGCAGATCCCTGCTGTTGACTTGCATTGGTTCCAGGTGACGCAGCTCCTCCTTCAATCTCGCGGCTATGGAGTAAGGTAACTCATCGCTCTTAGCAAAGTCGAGGCCAGATAGCCTCTGAAGTGCAAGGGTCCTGATGAAGTTTACACATACAAACGATGCGGTGTTGGCTGCCTTGTCCGTTGGGGTTATCAGGAACTTGTCGGTGATCATTTCGATTTCCCTTCTCACTTGCTCGCTGTCGATTGGCTCTGCTACCACGTGCCTCCTGAATCCCAAGAAGGTTCTCATCCTCTGTCTGATTTTCTCCTCGACCAACCTTCTGCACCTTCTCTTCTGCTTCTCCGGTATGTCCTTGATGTCCACGTGCTTCTCGAAGCGCTTGTCTAGTAGGCCGTTTACCTCTCCCGCTGCTTCGTTGATGTCCATTGTCTTTATGGGGATGTGGTTGAGTCCCTTGTTCATCATCGCTCTGAGCTTCGGGTTGTCGGAGATGGTGGTATCCATGGTGACGACGTGCGCTCGCTTGGCGCTGGGGTCCAGCTGGAAGGTGCATTCATTGCGAAAGTTCGCGTTCCCTTCTCTATTGCAGTGACAGTCCTCCTCCTTGTAGTTCTCGAGCCAATAATCCAGGTTGAAGTCGCGGAACACGTCAAACGGCTTGCACAACTTGGCCGCAATTGCTTCATTATACTTCCACCCGAACATCACATCATCCAGTCAGCCATCAGCGTCGTCCCCCACTACTCTCTCCACCATTTCTTTCACCACTTTCCTGATGTTAAACGCTTCCATGATGTGACTTGAATATCTCATGTGCAGGCACAGGGTATGCTCGCAACGCTCCTTATACCATTTCCGTCTTCCTATGGGAAGAAGAACCATTTCCCGGGGACCCAGGGGGTCCCTCCTTGGTTCCTGCAAGTCATCACAGAGACGAAGATGCAGATGCAAAACCAAGCTTGAGCGTATGCGACAGGGCTTTGCTCCGCATGTACGCACATATATATACATACAAATATATATAGAACAGTGTATACAAATATACATTTATATTGTGCAATCGGAAGGGTGGATCAATGAAAAAGATATGTATGAATCAGAACAAAAAGGAAAAAAATCGGCGAGGAGGAGAGGAGAGGAGAGGAGAGGAGGGGAGGGGGAGAAAACAACTTTTTCTTTTCGAGATCCGACCAAAAAAACGAGTGGTGGATCAGATTCATGGGGAGGAAGAGGAGGAGGAAAAAAAACGGGGTGGCGCGGAGCCCGGCCAATTATTCAGCTAATTCGGTCAGTAGGCCGCTTGCTGCGCTCATCCTGTCCTTTACGGAGAGATGATTGCTGAGCTATGCTCCCCCCTTGCTGCGGCTTCCCTCCTTCTAAGTTCGTTGTGCGGCGTTGTGGGTTCAATGACTGCTGATGCCCCTTGAGAATGTGTTGCTGCTGACTGCGCTGGCTGATTAGCTAGATCCACTCCCCTTCCCCCTGCTGCTCCCGTATTCCGTTGCTGAATGGCGAGCCCCGCTCCTGCTTCGTTTAATTGTCTTCTGGCCGCCGGCTGGTCTTGCACGTCTGCTTGTTCCCGCCGTGCTGGCTGGAAGTTGAGTCTCCCTTGGCCGGGAATCTGCGCCTGTTCATTTCTGGTACGTCTTCTGGCTCTTAATCTTGGCGAGTTTGCTCTCCCTGGCCTGGTAGGAATCCTCGTCGGGAGGAGGATTCGGGTAAGGGTTGGGGGCATTCGGTAGTCCCACAGCCTCTGGTCCCGGGTGACTGATTCTGCGTCCAGAGTTGCGTCTGCTTCTAGGCACGCGATGAAGCCCATCATGACGTGTCTGATGTTGATGAAGGTAATGTAGTCAAGGACGGCCGGCTTCCAGAAGGTGCGGAGAAAGTGGAAGAGCATCGACGTCTGCACTCTGATTGAAGACATGTTCGGGAGGAGGATGTTTGGGTGCGCTAACATGTACCATAGAGCGTGCTCGAACCACATTGGTCCTCCCGCATTGGCATTTCAGGTAGTAGGGCCTCCCAGTGCTCCAGACTCTACGTAGGCTTCTCAACTCCAAGTTCGGCGGCTGCTTCATCCCTTTTTGCCAGCATACCGGCGGGGTATCCCCACACTAGTCTGGATCCAGGTACGAAAGCGGCGGGAAGCTGAGGTCGCTTGGTTCGATGGACTTACTCATTCTTCCCGCATGCTCGAGTTCTCCGTCCAGTGCGGTCTCCTGGCACCTCAAGGCCTCCTCATCCGTAATCCCGGCTATGAATTGGAGTGCTTTGATGGACATTGATGAAAGGTGGTTAAATGTGTCCATCCTCCAGATGGCATGTCTAAAGCCTACGAATGTGTGCTCGACCCATCTTTCTGACGCTATGGGAGCGAATGCAATGAACTGGGCTCCGTGATCTGCAGCTGTGTAGCGCCTAATCCTTCTAGGCGGGGAAATCCTTCCTGCTGCTGTGGTGTTGATTGCCGCTTGCGCTTGCTCCATTTCTTCCAACTCGTCCTACCCAATCTCTAACGCTTGGATTCCTAATGGCCGAGCATGCTGCGTTGCATTGCGTGGTCTGCGCTCCCTGGGTGTGGCTACTCCTCGAACATGCGCATCGCTCAGTCCCCAGATCCTGAGGAAGAGACTCTCAATGCTGGCTGTCCTCGCTGATAGTTCTCGGCACTCCCTATCGTACTCTACTTTGCTCCTTTCCAATCTCTCTGCTAACCCCCTAAGCTCGTTCTAGAAGATCATCGGTCCCTTGTCCCACGTGCTGGCTAGTACTGCTAAGTCGCTGAACCCAAGCATCTCGAAGAAGTTCGGAAACCTTCCGGTGTCCCATAACGCCTTAATTGCTGTCATAATCTCCGGTTTGATGCACGTCATGAGTGCCTGCGTTGGCTTGCTTGGCAAAGGATATGCAGCGATCCATGGGAACGCGTCAGTGATCTGACTCCATCAACCACCAGGAAATTCCTCTTCGGGGATGAACTGCACACGCAACGACACAGACAAGCAGCGGGTGGGGGGTGGAAGGTTTTCGTGCTTGCTCGGAGAAAGGAGAGCATTCGGGAGGAGGAGGAGGACACTAGTTATAACTCTAATACCTCGTTCCCTCTTATCTCAATTTACATAGCTCACCCCTAGTCGCTTTGCGGAAGCCCCATCGCCACCTTTATCCTAGATTGGTTCCATGTACTGCCATTCAGCCCGTTTTTCTCTGAACTGACATCGGGCGATAGTTCACACAATGCGGCCGATGGGGGCGTCCATCGTCAGCGATGCAAGGGAGGGAGGCTCCCTATTCTCTGTGTGTTTCGGGTGTGCGCTCACACGCACGCAAGGACACGATAAAACGTGTTAGGCTGAGCTCCGGCGTAAATTTTGTCGGCGCATCACGGAACTCTGGCAGGATCCGGGCATTTTTGTGCTGGCGATATGGTTTAACCACCTGTTTCGGAATAAGGGGGTTGTTCAAAGGCTTTTTCACTTCGCAGCCCCGGGAGTTTATCAACTAGTATCTTATTGGACATCTTATGAGAGTTCCCATCGAGCTGGGAGCCTCTCTTGGGGAGTAGAGAGGGAGAGGCTTACTCATGTGGGGGTATGAGGTATTACACAAAGTTATAATAGAGCATCCGATAAAAAGCAGCAAGGAATACTCTACTAATCAGGCTAATTTCTGATCCTTGACCAAGGGACAGAGTCCATAACAGGTAAGTGTCGGTAGCACTTCGACGAACAATACGCATGGTCGAATCTCTAGATTAGTTTCAGAGAGTCGTACGTCTTTTGCATAATCGGTGGGGTATTCATGCAGCGGCGTATGCGGTATAGTCGTTCTACTGCGCTCCGATGATGAGAATCGGAAGAGAGCATCCATAGGTCGTTGGTTCAGGCAGCTGAGAATCCTATTGCTGTGAGAACATTCGGGAGCTAGTTCATGCAAGACTGCCGCGTTTAAGAGGTTGCAAGATAGAAAAAAAAAAGAACTAATTATCTAAGGACCTACCGTGGGAAAACTTCGAGATTCCCTAGTGTGAACGTAAGAGGAAGGAAAAGGCACCGAACAATCTTTTCTTAGTATGCAACAAAGGCTTGTTCGTACAAATCGTCGATTCAAGCAAAAAGTGAGAACCTCATCATCAAGCAGGAGTCCGGGGTTTTAGGTCATCAAAGAACAAGAGTAATTTCGCCAAAGAACGAGCTAATTACCATGGGACTTACGAAAAACAGAGGGCAAAAAGGGAACAGTTCTTACATGCATCAGAAAAAGCTCATCAAAGAACGAGAGTAATTTCGCCAAAGAACGAGCTAATTATCATGGGACTTACAAAAAAAAGGGAAAAAAAACGAATAGTTCTTACATGCATCAGAAAAAGCTCATCACTATGCAAGAATTCATGCGAAGCCTTTTGCTCAGCAGGGAACGAGAGAAAATAACACAAACATTGCCAAAGAAAGGGCCGATTACTAAAGGGGTAAGGACTTTGAAACTCCTAATTAGTTCGCATGAGGAAAATAAAAAAAAAAGTAGAATCGTCAAATAAGGAAGAGGTACAGAATGATCTTCACTCGGCATACATCAAAAAGGTCTTACGTACTCACGAAGCTTTCCTCATTTCATTGATTCAAGCAAACAGGAAACCCCATGAGCATGCACGAGTCCGGGGAATTTTTCTGGAGAAGGAACTATTCACCAGGGAAGAATTTCGAAATTCCTAGTGCATTTCATACGGGAAAAAAAAAAAATGGGGGAAAAAAAAGGGAAAAAAAAAAAAATAATAAAAAAAAAATAAAAAAAAATGAGCCAGAGATTGCAAAAAGAAAGGGAGGAGGCAACCGCTTTTTACTCAGTATGCATCAAATGCTTCAAAATGTCTTACGTACTTATTTAGAAAAAAAAAATTACTATTATCAATCCACTGCGAAAAAAATCGTAACCTCCTCAACCCAAGTTTAGCAATTCGTTTAACCCGCATGCGAACATGGGGAAGGGGTAAGTGGGAATGGGGAAGGAAGAGGAAAGGTTTCGAAGAGATAGAACCCGCATCAAACCTTTCACGAGATTCCGTTGTTACGCTTCTGTGCGTGAGGACCGATGGCCGAGCCGTGGGAGGGGGTGGCAAATCCCTGAGACCTTTCTGCTGAGCCAGCAGTAGCTTCATCAAAGGGGCATCTTTCTCTTTCAAAAGACGCAGGACAGGGCGGGGAGAAGGGGTGGTGCGATGGATTGGTTGGGGGGGTGACTGGAGGATCTGGCGGAGAAGGGGGTGAGGGAGGGTGCAGGTTGCAATGAGGGGGACGCCATGCTTTCGCCGAATCGGCTGCGACATGGTGCTGCGTGGCGGGCTGCGGCTGCGGTAGTGACGCGATGAAAAAACTAAAGGCGAGAAATGCAAGAAAGGCCAGGAAGGCCAAGAGGCTGCAAGCTCATGTCTCCACGCTCGCCGGTCTGTTGCTTCGCTTCTCCATCTCGCCTTCTTCGCTGCTGCCCATGCTTCTTCCGTAAAAACCGCTAGGAGGATTAGGCCTACCGCAGTTGCGAACGAGATTGTGGCAGCTGCTGCTATGCTTGTGAATGCTATGAGTGCGCCCAGGTACAACGCTTGCCTCCCTGCTGGTGCTAAAAGCACCTCCTCCGACTGACATTTCCTGATTAGTGCGTAGATGCATAGCAGGTTGGGGAGGAGCACTAGGCAGAATACTGTGGGAAGGGCTATTGTACCGAGCGCTGCCACGTGGGGAGGGGAGGAGGAGGAGACGAGGGAGAAGGCCGGGAGGACATGTGCAGGATGAGAAGGCCGTGTAGGTAATGGAAGA